CAGAGTCTTCTTTCCCCTCCCTCCCAACCTCACCCTCCAAGCAGAGGTAACTGTCTTGAATTGGCATTTCGCATTCTCATGCATTTATTGATTCTTTGACTCTTTAGGTCTATATTTATAACCAAAGGAAAGACTTCATGTACTTCCAAATTTTATAAAAATGGTATGATTCTGTGCCTTATTTTGTGTGTATGTGGGAAAATTTCTCCAGAGGATATACCTGGGAGGGGAAATGCTGAAGGGTAGGGTACACATATCTTCACCCTTAGTAGAGAGTGTCAATCAACTTCTCTAATGTTCTTTCATTGCTGTTATAGCTACATAGTATTCATTAAAATCATGTACACTAGTGTGTTTTATTTTGTTTTTATCCATTTCTGCTTATTATTTGGTGGAGGTGTTGTTAAAATAATATTAGATGTAAAATCTTTCATGTTGAGGTGATTATGTCAGTAGAGCACTTGAGAACGTGGAAGACCTTCTGGAGTATTAGCTCATTTGGTCCATGGAGAGAGTCAGGTCAGTTATTACCATTGCTCCTTTTCATCTTCAGTGAAGATGATGAAGTTAAACTCCTTTCACAGTTACGGGGGTGGCGCAGGGGAGATCTGGGACTGGTCCATGCCTGGGAAACGATGTCACAGCAGAAGACCACACAAAGAGCAGGAGGAAACAGGCCTTTTTGGGCACCTGTGAAAATGCAGGGTATCACTCACAAGCGGCTCCTGGACGGCATTGTCCTGGAAAAGGGGGAAACAGATGGCCCATTAATAGGAACCTGATAGCATTGTTTGGGGTAGGGCAGGAGGTATCCTCTGGGGGACCAGGAGAGAAGCTTTCAGCTAAGAGCCACAGCAGCATGGAGGAGGAGCTTGCAGTGGCCACTTCCTCCCTCCTGTGCCCTGGCAGGAAGGAGCACAGAGGGGATGGGGGGCATAGCTTCCATTGTTTGCCCTATGCTGTGTCTGCCAGAACTCCCCGGAGAAGCCAAGGGCTAAGGGTATAGGTCTGTGTGTGTGTGTGTGTGTGTGTGTGTGTGTGTTGGGAGAAGGGCTGCCGTGGTGAAAGTTGAGAACAGGAATGACTTGGGGCAGGAATGCCTAGGATGAGGAAACATTAACCAGAGGTGTCTAGGGCATGTGTAATGCCTACTCCTGGGTCTTCCTTTCTCCTTTTTATGTGCTGGTTGTGTGTCCTGAGCTTGAACAGCTCTCACCTAAATAGAGCTGCTGTGCATTGCTTCTCTGACGAGTGGTGGAGAAATGTGATTTAAAACCAGAAGTCCAGGCTCTGCCACTAACCAGCTCTGTGACATTGGGAAAGTCCCTTAGCCTCCTGGGATCCTTATCCCATAAGAGATGCCAAGATTCCTTCTTCGCTGCAGGCCTGTCTAGTGCCTACTCTGCAGGTACAGGGTTGTAGGCTGCTGCCAGGAGTTGAAAAGTAAGTTATGAAACGATCCTATCCCAGCGCTTTTTCTCTAGTTATGGCCTTAAGTTCTATAATACCTAGCCCCTGGTGAGCAACTGAGTGTCAAGGAAGTAGAGTGAAGGTTGCTTTGGAAACAAGGAAAAGGAAAACAGAGGTTTGATGGGCCCTGAGGTTCCTTCGGTGCTTCTGCTGTTTGCTTCATTGAGGAGGTAGAGTGAGTCACACACGTGGTTCTAAAACGGAGTGAAGATGCCTGTGCAGCCAAGGCCACTTCCTGAAATCCTTAAAATCTACCGCACAACACTGACACAGGGTCAGGATGGCACACACTCTGATTCTCCGTGGGTGCCACTTACACATCACTTGTCCTTTAAACTGGGCACTGCAGAGTCCCATCCTCTCACCTGTTCTGTCCTCATCATGTAGTCTCCACCTGCCTCGTCACATGTATTTTCATGGTTACCTGGAGACTCGTGAAACCCCAGCCCAAGTTCTCCAGTCTGATGCTCCCTATAAGTTCTAGATTAAGTGGCTACTAGACATCTCCAGTCAGATGTCCCACAGGCATCTGTTCTCTATGGCCCATCCGCACCCCTCACTCCCGGCTGTTCTCTTCCTCCAGCGTTCTCTATTTGGTGACTGACAGCAGCCTCACCAGGCTCCTGTAATTACCACCTGGGCAAGGCCTCCCCGGCCCATCACGGGGGCTTCCTGCTCACCTTCAACCAGCTAGCAAGCTGTCCATCGACTCTGACATTCCCTACATCACTATGTTTGTGTTTTCCTCAAAGAATTACCTCCTCTTTTAAGTCAGCTCTTCTGTGGTTCTGTTCCCATTAGAAGACAATCCCAACCCTTTAGGGTGACCTGGGAGGCCTGGCTGCCTTTCTTACATCTATCTTACCACCTTCCTTCTTCTTTGTCTCCTACCTGCAGCCATCTTGTGGTTCATACAGTTTGGCCAGGGGTCACCTGCCCTACACTCTTCTTCAGGTGTGGCTTGTCCCCATCAGGTTTCTTTCCCTGGAGTCCCTCCTTCTTCCCCACCCCAAGCCCCTCACCTGGCTGCCTCTTTCCTCCTCACTTTTCAGTATGTCACATAGCATCTCCTCTTCTGGAGGCTTCCTTGGCCCTCTCACCCAGGTCAGTGACTCTTCCTAGGAACCCTCATGGCATCCTACAGCGACCTTTATCACGGCACTGATGACACCATTTCAGGTGGTTCTCTGAAGTGGGACTTGGTGATGATCTATTCTCAGCTCCTGACCCAGTGCCTTGCTCTCAACATGTGAGGCAGATAAGCCCATTTTACAGAGAGAAAGAAACTCTCAAAGTTGTCTTGGGGTGGCAGTGGGACCCAGGGTTCTAATGCCTCCCATTGTATTTGTGAAGATCGCAGCAGGGACAAATCTCCACAGACGTCCACAGGTTCCAACAAACCCGCAAAACTAGCTGATTTCTTAGATTTCCACATGCCATCTGTCACCAGCTCCTCCACTTTGCCCGAGGAGTTGTTGACCAACCACTGGCGACTCACAGGTATCATTGCCAAGTTAAAAAAAAAAAAAAAAAAGAAGGTAGAAAATTAAGTGTCAGCTGTCCAGCTGCTGGGAGTCAAAGATGATAACTTGCCATCAGATGTTCCTGCCATCAACAAAGGGCTTATAAAACCAAAGAGCTCCTGCCATGGAATCTGAGGCACAGCCGAGAATCTGGGCATGTGGTGGGCAGAAGGGGGTGAGGAGGCAGTTACTCCAAGGGTCAGTATCTCAGATTGTTCCTGGAGAAATCATCGCAGAGTCAGCCAACCAGAAAGGAGACTGGTGGTACCCCCTGTCTCCCTGTCCTCCCTTCCCTATTTCTTGGCACTTTGCCCACCATCAGATTAATAAAATCTTTTTAATCCCGACAGGAATGACAACCTCATGAGGAAAAACTGGATGGAAGATTAAAACAACATCAAGAAGTAAAATGTTTTCCTATAGAAGGGCCTAAACACTTGCTTTGTACAGAGGATGTGAGTTAATATCTCTGTCTCAGGGATGTAATTTTTCTCCTTGAATCTTGAGTAGCTTCCAGAATGGTAAAAGCTGTTTCCATAGCCATGTCTGAAGCTGACGGTGCCCAAGTACAGCCATCTCCATGAGGGATGAGAAAGGTATTGCCTTCAGATGCCAATGTGCAACATAAACTAAGATGTAAAACACACACACACACACACACACACACACACACACACGCGCTTGAAAACAGTAATGCCTTAATAAAAACCTGTAATGATTTTTCCTATGCAAAAGGGTAGGACTAAAAACAAATAATTAGAAGTATAGATTAGATTTAGAAAGGAAATCTGAACAGAAACAATTCCTTTCCATGTCAATAATATTTGATGTTAAGTTTGGTTATTGTACTATTAAATTAAATCACATATATAAAATAAAAGTTATACTTTTCATCACAAAAGTGCTTCTTAATTTAGAAAACATTATTAAGTCACTCTATGTTCCCTTTTAGGCTTTAATACATTGCTTATATTAAGAATTACATTTAGAAAAATGTGCTTGTCCTTACCTTCCCAGAGCACAACTTTCAGAATAGGAAATGATTTCCAAGTAGAAATTGAGAGAACATTAGGGTGGCTGTTGTGTTTCAGTCTTGATATTCTTATTGAGGATTATTCATTTTAAGATTCAACAGCCACGGAGTATCTGAGATCTGCCTGACCTCAACCAGAACTGGCTCTGTTGTCCTTTCCTTATCCTCAGGGAGAAAATCCAGGCCAGGTTCCAGGGTCCAGAGATGGCCTTCCTCTCTGGTTCACAGGGGACCTCTGAGTTCCTCCGTTCAAATCTTCCCTCAGTCAATGCTTAGCTGTGAGACCTTGGGCAAGTTATTTAACTTTTTTTGTGTCTCACGTTCTTCATCAGTAATTTAGAGATAACAGTCCCTTCTTCATAGGTTTGCTGGAGGGTTAAATAGTTGTATGTAGTCTTAGGACAGTTTATGACTGGTGCTTTGCAGATCCTCAATAGATATGAACAATTCCTGGGTTATTATTGACATTGGAAAGCTCCCCTGCTTTCTAAGGAACTGGAGTGACTAAGAGAGACCAAGTGCATACACTCAGACTGCTGTAGAGCAAATAACTAGTGAACAGTCAGAAGTATTTAGATAAAACATCTTTTTAAAAATATATTTTTATTGATTTTTTACAGAGAGGAAGAGAGAGGGGATAGAGAGTCAGAAACATGGATGAGAGAGAAATATTGATCAGCTGCCTCTTGCACACCTCCTACTGGCGATGTGCCCGCAACCAAGGTAAGTGCCCTTGACCGGAATCAAACCTGGGACCCTTCAGTCTGCAGGCAGTGGCTCTACCACTGAGCCAAATCGGTTTTAGCTAGATAAAACAACTTGTCCTCAATGCCCTAGCATCAATTGTTAAAACACACACACACACACACACACACACACACACACACACACACAATGAGGGGGAAATCCTGGCAAGGGGACAAGCTTGGAGGATTGTCTGAAAGCAGTCATTGTGTTCAGGTGGCCTGGCAGGCTACTGTAAACAGGAGAGATAGCTGTGAGGAGGAAATCAGAGCCCATTGTGGGCTCATAAAATGGATGTCTTTTCAACTAAACAGATGGCTATCGGCCTAACAGAGGGACTCGGGTTCCTTTCTGCCCGGCCATTTCCTTTGCTGAGTGTCTGTCAGAACCACCCAGCTGGGCGTTTCTCAGGACTGCAGGCTTTCAGGTCAAACAGAAAACCTGGGAGTGCCTGCAAAAGCCCCACGCAGGCGGGTGCATGACGCAGGAGCTGGACGACATCTCCCTCCCTGCTGCTGGGGGAGGTGGAGGCCGTGGTGCCCGGATTTGTGCAGTTTCTCTCCAGCAGCCAGGACCACAGGGAAGAGAGCTTTGTGCTGACGTCGCTGAAGGCTTCCCGGGCTGAGCACCGCCCGCCCCTCGGTTCATTTCAGAAGCTGGGACATCCTCCACACACTGTCACCCTCACACCCGCCAGGATGGACAAGACCCAGGAGCCCCCGGCCATGACTGTCCACCTGCTGGCCAGCTCCGGGCAGGGTGCGCTCCTGCAGCAAGCGCTGGACCAGCTCCTGGGCTGCCTCTGCCCAGAGGCCCGTCTCTTCATGGTGTCGGAGCGGGCCAGTCCCGTGAGCAGCTATGACAGGGGCCACCCCAAGCGCTCCCGGTTCCCGGGGATGTCCGTTCTGCTCTTCCTGCACCAGAGCCCTGGAGAGGAGCGGCTGTTTCGAGTCCTCCACTCCCTGCGGCAGTGGCCCTGGCAGAGCCACCCCGCCCTGAGCCTGCAGGGAAGCCCGTGCCCCCACAGCCTGGCCCGCCAGGAGTTCTTCACTCTGGACAACCACATGCCCGTCTGGGGCGTGAGGCCGGTGCACGGCGGCCCGGAGGTCCTGCGGGTGACGCTCTACTGCACCTTCGACAACTACGAGGACGCCGTCGGCCTCTACGAGATGATCCTGCAGAGGGAGGCCGCCCCGCAGAAGAGCAACTTCTGTCTCTTCGTGCTCTACGCCACCGAGAGCTTCGCCCTGCAGCTGTCCCTGAAGCAGCTGCCCCTCGGGATGTCGGTGGACCCCAAAGAGTCGTCGGTGCTGCAGTTCAAGGTTCAAGAGATTGGCCAGCTAGTGCCTCTCCTCCCACACCCGTGCGTCCCCATCAGCCGCACCAGGTGGCAAACGCAGGACTACGACGGCAACAAGATTCTGCTCCAGGTACCTCTTGCTTTGTCTCTGTGACCTGGTAGACACGCATGGAATGGTGGGCCTGAGAGATGATTGGAGATGGGGGTTCTCAGGACCCCTGGGGAGCTTTAAAAAATCCCCAGAACAGTAAGATCAGAATCTCCGGGGGCACCCAGGCCTGGGCATTTCTTTAAAAAAACTCCTTGGATGATTCTAATATGTAGCATGTCGTGGTGTTGAGAGTCACTGATCTTGTAAAATCCCCCGCGTGGGGCAGGTACGGAAGTTCAGACTCCGTGGACACAGCTGCTTCTGAGCCATTTGCTGACCGACAGCTTGGTCTCAGGAAACAAGTTTGTCTCTTCATGTATTGATATGTTCCAGAAACTAGATCCCTGTAAACAAGCATGTGTTTCTTTTCATTTTATCAGCAGATATGGAGCTAAGTTCATCCTTATGTTCTTTTTAGCCATTAAAATAAAGGAACATAGTCTTTCCTGAAGTAATTCATTTTCTTCTTCTATAGCATTTCTTGAAGTCTGCTTTTTCATTTCTAAGTCTCTCAACTGTGTTTACTTGGACTCTGTTCCTCTCTCTTTGTCTTGCTCATTTTCTTCCCATTCTCCATCCCTGTCTGTATCTGCCCCACACCATTACACACACACACACACACACACACACACACACACCCATTCCCACGCTCTCACTCTCAATATGCTGCCTTGGAAGAACACATGTGGACATTTGTCAGAAGGCTGCTGCTATAGGATAGCAGGGTAATATCAGTGGTTTGGGTTAATCAGTTAAAATAATCAGTTAATTGAAAGAAACTGGTTTCAGTTCTTAAGTAAGCAAGCCTGGCACTGTGTGGGGGCTGCTTACTATCTCTATAACTCATTTCCTTGCCTCTTTCCCCCCCACCCCCCCCGCCCCTTCCCCTTTTGGAGAAGTCCTTTTTGCTATCTCTTGGAACCACATTCAGTAAAAGACAATATTATTTTCCCTGGATGATGTCAGTCTGCCCCTTAAAAGCTTAATCATTTTTCAGTGATGTGTGTTTTCTTGTTTCATATCTTGTTTCTGAAGTGTTTAGAATCAGCTGAGTGACAAGCGATCTTCCTGTTCATCAGAGATAGTTGCTACTGTTTCCTGAAACCTGGAAAAAGCTAGCTCTCAATTTGTAACATTTTACAAGCATTTCTTAGAAAGATGGGGTCTGAATGATCAGAATTTTTACAGATGCATTTCAACTTGTTTATTTTGGCAGGAGGAGCTTTATTCTCCCTTGAGGGATGTATCTCCTCCACTCAGCATTTTCTTCTAAAAATGCCTCATTCCAACTGCACACATCTGCATTTTTGTATTAATAATGTTGCACTCACTTTCGACATACGGTCTAAGGAGTTTAGAATTTTCTTTTAAAAAGGAAAGTTGACATTTCCTCCTCTTAAAAAAGATTGCAGATATGGCTGGCCATGTGATGAAATCACTTTTAATTTTCTCGATAAGACTTTATAAATACCTAATATCAAATAAGTAGGGGCCTAATTTATAGTTCTACATTTCTATGTGCAAAATTTTACACTTTGAGGGGGATTCAGCTTTATTTATTTATTTATCCAACAGCTATCTAGTGGTTGTTTACCATGTGGTAGGCACTGTGCCAAGTACTGGAAACACATAACATTTTGAAGGATTGTGTTTATTGCTTCTATTCAATTCAACCAACTTGTTGAATGACGGTTATGGGCATGGCCTGGCAGAGGGCGACTAGAACAGTCTGTTCTTAGCATGTAGTGACTGGATAACATGGGTTACATTCGTTCGTCTTTACTCTGTCCCTTAGATCCAATCGAATCCAGGACTTGGTGTGAGGAACAGCGAGCTTTCCTTTCTGAATGGCAGCCCCGGGGCTGACGTGCTTCCCCAGGGACCCAGGGCGGCCCCTGTCTCCACAAGGAGGACCCTGGAGCTGCGAAGGCGAAGGAGCAGGGGCAGGCGGTACAAAGCGGCTTCTCTGGAATTCCCCAAACCCAGTGGGAACCCAGCGTCCAACAGCTCTCATGGCACCTTGTGGCGAAACCCTGGCTGCTCATCCCAGGTCAGCAGCCCAGCTACAGATGCCCAAATGCCTCTGTGTTCTTCCCACCTTGAACCCAGGACCAGAATGAAGATCTTTGGTCAGGAAAATGGCTTTGAGAAACTGGAGGCAGAGACCAATGTGGACACAGGGCACACCATGGTCAACTCTGAATTCAGACAATTGTTTCTGAGCAGGTTTCCGAGGGATCTGCAGACCAGCCAGCCACCACCAGCCTCCACCTTAGGGGCAGCTGCCTCCAAAAATAACAAAAACTTGAAGGAAAGCATCCATCCTTTGTCACTTGCTGGCCAAAGGGACCTTGATGCAAGGAAGACAATCTCAAAATGTCTTCATCTGCCAGTTCAGGGTGAAGAAAAAGGAGAAGACGAATTCTTTATATAGTATAAAACACTGTGGTTTTCTAAGATACAAGATCAAATACAATGTTCCAGAAAGGGAGCATTCTATCTTGTTTATCTGAGGGGGCCTGAATGCTAGCCATGCATAGGTCTGTATTGCTTTTATTTGTTCAAAGTCTAATGGTGCTGTAAGTGGTTGCTTGTTTTCAGCCATGGTCGTGGTCATAGACACACTAACCTTGCACCTATCAGGATAATTGCATTGTATGGAAATGAGTTGAACATGTTTTGCAATGTTGATTAGTGTATACAATTTGGTTTTAATTTTTTACTGGGGTGGCATAGCTCTTCCCCCTGGACATCGTGGACTATTTATTCTTTAGTGTTTTTTAATTTTTTATGTGACCTCCTTTTATAACTAGGCCCTGCTCACCACATGCCCTCTAATGATTTAAGTTGTTTGCATATGGAATGAGTTAACATGCAAAGTGCTTTGAAAATTAGGAATAACTAACTGTTTTCCTGTTTCATGAGCAGAAAGGGAGGGTTTCCTGCTCCTCCATTTCTCATTTGCTTCTGCACTATTCCAGTGGGACCAGAGGCTCATGTGACTAACTAGAGAGGAATGTCACATGATTGGATGATTCGAGATCTCCACAGAGCATTGGTTGGGCTATTGGAGCAGGACTTGGGTTCATCTGGTCATGTTTGAATTTCTAAATATCTTTGCAATATTCATTCATTCAACAAATGTTTACTAGGCACCTAACTTTGAGTCACCTAACTTTGATTTATGATATGCATATATTCTGTGGCCACCAAATCAAAAGTGATTATGGTTCCACCAGTTTGATAAATCCATCCTGTCAACTCAAGAATATATTGAAATCCAAATTTATACCTCTAGAAACTTTTCCCATAATTCATTCTCACAGTTGCTGCACAAGGCTGTGGTAAGCATTCACAACTTGCAGATGGAGACTGGGCAGATTATGCATTACAATTATAATCATAATAGACAAGTTCTCAATTGCTCGTATGCTGTATTTCTTTTTTTCAGTTGGGTCTATACCACATAAAAGTTCGAGTCTGTGTGTTTCAGTTAAGTTATAAGGTTATTCTTTTTTATTATATATATATTTTATTTTCAATTACACTTTATAGTTAATATTATTTTGTATTAAATTCAGGTATACAACATAGTGGTTAGACAATCATATACTTTACAAATATTTCCAGTACCCATCTGGCACCATACATAGTTATTGCAATTGACTATATTCTCTATCTTTTACTTAATATTCCTGTTACTATTTTTTAATTACCATTTACGTTACTACTTTTTAATATTTTCACCTTTTCACCCAGTTTCCAAAACCCTCTCCCCTCTGGCAACTACCTGTCTGTTCTCTGCATCTATGAGTCTGTTTATGTTTTATTTGTTTATATTGTTATTTGATTCCACATATATCATAAGTGAAATCATAGGGCATTTGTCTTTCTCTGACTGATTTATTTCACGTAGCATAATACTCTCCAGGTCCAACTATGTTGTTGTAAATGGTAAGATGTCATTCTTTTTTATGGCCTAGTGACATTCCATTGTATAAAATGTACCACAGCTTGATAAGGTTATTATTATTATTTTTTTAATGAACTTCTTTCGCCAAGACAGATGTTACATAAGACTTCAAATGCTGACCTGGCTACTTAGTCCACCCAAATGGGGAGAAGGGTGTGCTCAGACCAAAGGATGATTCTTATGGCAGCAAGACTGGGCTGAGTTTGGGGTGCTCTGCCCAGTTTAGGGTACAAATGAATGACAGTTGCTAGTAGACAAAGACATGACTTCTAAATTGATTTTTTGGGTGGTTGTTACATCAATATATTCTCATTCTCATTCTCATTTTTTTTCTCCCCCTCAGATTAAAGGTAGATCTTAAAAAGTGGATGAAGAACTTAACTTTGGTATGGCTTTCTATAGTAGCATTTTTAAAATGCAAGTCTTATTTAAGTTGAACTATTGAGCTTCTTTGAAAAGCCCAGCAGGGGGGCATTCTGACATTTCATTCCCATCTTTAACAGGTTACCTAAATTTCTTTAGCATAATACACAGGTAAGAATATAAGTACATGGAAATCATGAGAACATTGCAAAATTTGAATGAGTACCTTATAAAATTGATTTGTAATATAAAAGACTCTTCACATATCACCTACTCTATTCTACCCAATGTAGGAATCCAATTTACAACGTGATAGGTTGAAAATACCAGTGGGTGAGGTGATAGAGGCCCAGATTTTGGTTTCAAGCTTTAAAATTTACTATTTATGTGACCTTGAACTGTCAGCCTCTGTGATCCCCTGGTTCCTTATCTATATAGTAAGGAAAGGTTGTTAGAAGAATCAAAATTATGTATATGAAAGCATTTGGATAGTGCCAAGCATTATGAATATGCAAGATAGTATTAGTGCATGGTCCTTCAGACCCACACTTTTAAAATGGCAATGAAGGATTTTTTGAAATAGGTTTTGGTAAAATCAATGATACAATAAAAATATAGTGATATAATGATTACAAATAAAAGAAACCTTTCTATTATTATTAGTATGTGTGCCATTTATTTTCATCTATTAAAGAAGAGAATTATCGATAGAATTCAAGTAGATTCTAAAGCTCAAAAGAGGTTATATGAAAGGGATTAACTATGCACTAATTAACTCCAATTTATCAAATCAGACTCTTAACTGTAATGATACTGCATTCCCTAAAATGTATCAATTTTAAAATCTAAGTGACGCTTGTTAATCAGATTATTTTCTCTTATAAGGGTTGCATGGCTATTTTTAATCTTATTAAACAGTGTTTCCCACTTTTTTGCAAGCATTGTTTAGACATCCCTAAACTTGTGACAGCATTTGTTGGTTGGGGGAAGTAGAGCAGGGGATTTGGGGTGCACACACCTTGACTTAGGAAGGGACATAGACTAGCACCTCAGCGGCACCTCATCCACCCTCTGCTCTGAGGGGACTTTGTCCAGAGAGTCCTGGTCCCTCTAGCACTGGCCCAAATCTGCTCACTGCATCCGGTTATGCTTGGAGATGCTGATGGCACAGACAGTAGTGGAGAGAAATGTGGGGAAAGGGGAGCCCTTCCTCTCAGAGGAAGATGGAGAAAGGGGAAGGGGCGCACAAAGGAAGGCTCTGGAGCCACAAGCACACACCCCATGTCCTATTGATGAGAACCTCCTACATTTCATGTCAAGTTATAAAAAAAAAGGAATGCCTGGAATAACTTAATTCTGTCTCCCTTTCTTGCATTTTCTAAGCCTGCATGTTTGTTTTTTTTCTCTTTTCCATTCCTTTCCACACACCCCCATCTCATCTCTCCTATTTTTTTATGTGTGTGCATGAATTTGATACTCTCTTCATTCTTCCCCGTTTTAAAAAACACTTTGTCTTTGCAGCCTCTCCCAGGGTTCAAGGGGCTGACATGGAGCTGCAGCTTCTAAATGGGCCCGTTGGCTAAGCTCTGAGAGACCCTTCTCTGAAGAAATTCTCCCATTTCCAGGTTATGCCCAGCGTTCGGAACTGGGGCACTAACCCCAAATCCCTTAAAAACAAGTTGACCTCTCTCCACACTTTCTGTTTTCACGCCTGCTAACCCTTTCTCTGAGGTCTGAGATGTTTCTGGAACAAGTTTAAAGATTGACTATGGTATGTGATAGCAAAACAGAAGACATTATGGCTCCAGCGAGCACATAATTAGGATTTATGTTAAGAATTTTATCCTGTTAAACTTTATTTTCAGATATATTATTTTAAAAGTCTAGTTATTCCAGAAAATCTGATGAGTCTCTGCTTAGCATGAGAAGAAACATTATTTTCACAAATTCCATGTTGACCAGAGATGTTTCTGAGATAATTCTTTTAAGGATAATAATTCTAAAGAGGAACAATATTACCAAATCTGAGCTGATGATAATGGCTGGCCTGGGCAGCACCTGCTACATGTGAGGTGCTCCTGTATTTCAATCCTTACATCAATCTTGTGCGGTAGGTGCTCTAATTACCCCCATTTTACAGATGAGAAAACTGAGGCACAGAGAGATCAAGTTCCTAGCCAGAACTGCTCAATTAGTAAGTGTCATTGGCTAGGCTTAGAACCCAGGCAGTCTGGCTGGAGTTTGTGTTCCTAACCACTATACAACCCTGCCCCTCGTAGTAGGGTGCAAGGAGGGTAGAGCTCAGCTTCAGTATGTGCCCATACCATCTCCACACTGAGTGCCTGGCATGCCACCTTGGTTTCCTTTCTGCCCCCACTTGTTCTGTCTGCCACAGACCTACTTAGATATGAGGTTGAAATGCCTGTCACTGTAGAGCTGACTAGATGACACCCCATCATCCATCCCTTAGCCCAGTGCCAGGACTAGAGTAGATTTCCACAGTAAAAAAAATTTACAAAGATTTTGTTCCGTGGATACACAGCAAGGGGACACAGATGAGGCTTCCATTTTCTAGATGCCAGAAGTAAGAAACTGTCCTACTGGGAGGCTGCCATAACCAAATAGCACCGGCTGGGTGGTTCTAACAGCAGACATTTATTTTTCTCACAATCTCAGGGGCTGGGAAGTCCAAGACCAAGGTGCTCTTGATCATGGTCGGGTTCTGTGAGAGTTCTCTTCCTGTCTTGTAGGAGGCTACCTTCTTGCTATGTTCTCAAATTGGTGTGAGAGAGAGAGAGGAATAGAGAGAGCTCTGTTGAATCTCTTATAAGGGCACTAATCCCATACACAAGGGCTCCACCCTCATGACCTAATTACCTTCCAAAGCCTCTACCTCCAAAGACCATCACACTGGGGGTAAGTTAAGACTTCAACATATGAAGCTGGAGAGACACATTCATTCCATAACAGAGGTGAATCCTGTCATTCCTGTCTGTCCTATGTACCAGGTCTCCTGCCTCCAGCCCCTCTTCCGTTAGCCTTTTCTCCATTTCCCAGGTGTGCAGTTTTCCTCCATCACCTGTTGACTGCAGACCTATCTCAGCTTGCAACAGTTCCCTCCTCATCTCGTCTGTCCTTTTAGTATATTACTGTCCTTTTTTCTCATAGACCCTGCTGCTGTGCTCTCTGAACCTCACTCCAGGGTTTGGCCTCCCTCATCCATGCCACAAGCGTGCCCTGACCACCAGATCACTGCACCTCTTACTTTTATGTCCAGGACCTGTACAGGCTCCCAGAGCCTCAGCCAGTGAGCCCCACAGCAAAGGATCCAATTTTGTCTTCAAGAGACCAAGTCACAGGAGACGGTCACAGCAGAAATGATGATCCTGTTCTCATCACAAGGGTGTTTGAATTCCAGCAGGCATGGATCATGGTTGATTCAAGTTAACATCCGTTATAAGTCATGGTCCTTTTTATATCCCTCTCACGGGATAACACTCACATCTTGGAATTTTCTCTGGTTTGGTCTAAGTCGCAAAACTAAGTGTGACTGAATTTCAACAGGACTTTTTAATGAGGTGTGTAAATATTTCCCTTGATTTTCCCCCTTCCCGAAACTGACATCAGAGGCCACTATTGTGATACAATCTAGTCACTGGGGTAATCTCCAAATTGTTTTTGTTCTGCTTCATCCTGAGAGAGGAAAAGAGATATTTAAAATTAATGTATGTTCAGGAAATGTCCCCATGGGAGTTTCAGTGGGAAGCAGACCTCACCTGACACACATTCCATCTGCACCTCCCCTGGCCTGGGCATGCGACACAGACTCAGCCAAAAAGGTGTATTCTTCCCGGAGTTTTGATGCTTCCTCAGGGGTAGGAAGCCTTCTGTAGGGTTAGGGGAAGCAGAGCGTGGCACTCTGGTCCCAGAAAGAGTGATGTCAGCCTTTGGCCCTGAAGCCCCTAGTCCACACTGGTCCAGGGCCCGATTTTGGCTGTAATTCTGTCGGTTTACACCCCCTCCCCTTTTTTTGTTCCTGTGCATTTTCTGAAGCCAGTTCTCCAGCCTTCTGATAAATTCATGCCCAGCTTGAATCAGCTAGGATCAGTTATGTTCTAACACCAAATAACTGAGATTGATACAGAATGAAACATTCAGAAGGTTGACGCCAAGAACAAAATTGGGGCACTGTATTAGG